ATTCAACAGGAGTTGAACCTGAAGTTCGAGATTGGCGCTTCCCTATTATTAATTATGTCTTACACAGTATCTTACCGGAAGACGTAAAAGAAAGGGATTCGATTCGGCGGAGAGCACCGAGATTTTACTACAACGCTGAATCACAAATGTTGTACCGACGGTCGTACGACGGTCTATTACTCCGTTGTCTATCTAATAAGGAAGCAGAACAAGCACTCAAAGAGGCGCATGAGGGGACGTGCGGTGCACATCAACCCGGTCCTAAACTCTGCGTTATTGGCCGACTATGGTAAAGGATGCGGTTGACTACACCCGACGATGTCAAGCGTGTCAATTACATGCAAATTATATGCACATACCTCCTGAACATCTACATCCTTCGGTAACATCGTGGCCGTTCGAGACATGGGGAATGGATATCGTGGGTCCTATTTTTTCATCTTCGGTCAAAGGAGACCGTTTTATTCTAGCAATCACTGATTACTTCTTGAAATGGGCAGAAGCAGTTCCACTTCGAGAGGTGAAGACGAGTGATGTGATCGAATTTATCAAACACCATATCATATATCGATACGGTGTTCCGAGGCGAATAGTGCACGATAATGGACCTCAATTCGTCAGCAACGCATTTATCAAGTTCTGCAGTAAATTCGGGATTAAGGACGTTTCATCGACTGCTTATAATCCTACAACTAATGGATTGGCCGAAGCTTTTAACAAGACTATCATCAAAATTCTGGCAAAATTGGTGAAAACCAATAAACGAGATTGGGACGATAAACTCGGCGAAGCTCTCTGGGCTTATCGTACCACCGTCCGTACGCCAACCGGAACCACCCCGTATGCCTTAACATATAGGTGTGAAGCCGTCCTTCCATTGGAAATACAGATTTCTTCCCTCCGTATCGCTCTTACAACGGGAATGACGACGGAAGAACATCATCAGAAACGTCTCGAGGAATTAGAGATGTTAGATGAGAAACGCTTGGAAGCTCAACAACAGATCGAGTTTTATCAAGCTAGAATTTCCCGGGCTTTTGACAAAAAGGTCCGACAACGAAGTTTTAAAGAAGGAGATTTGGTCCTCGCCGTCCGAAGACCTATGATTCTCACTTCTAAGAAGAAAGGTAAATTTGAACCTAAATGGGAAGGACCGTTCGTGATAGAGACAGTCTATTCAAACGGTGCTTATCGCCTGATTACTCAGGATGGCAACAAATTAATGATGCCAATAAATAGGAAGTTCCTGAAAAAGTATTATCCATAATACGTTCAGGATAACCTATGTAAAACGAGAAGTTCATAGAGAATCCTGTATAGGATATTTCAGGATAACCCGATATCAGTTGATTATTCTAAATGAAGACTGATCATGTGAATAATCTATTCTTAATTGTTATAAAAATGATTAAGATCTCCTTATTATTCTTGTTGAGATGAGATTTAATGACAGTTAATCTTTCCTCACAAAAAATTCTTGTTGAGATGAGATTTAATGACAGTTAATCTTTCCTCACAAAATCCGATAACATGATCATGGAAGAGGAGATTCGATGATTTGTAATCTCACACCATGAAACCCTCACTGATCGGATCAACCAATAGTCATCAGTCCGTATCAGTCAACAAATTATTTTGTGTCAAATTCTTATGTTTGAAATCAAAATTCCTCACCGAGTAGTTTGTGCAAATCAACGAACTCATTGTTATTTGCACCCTACTCCAATTCTTCACCCGGTCAAACCTTTAAATAGTTAGGACCAGAACCAAAATCCCCTCTCGATTCCTTCAATGAACGAGAGGTCCACAAACTAAACGATCAAACCTTCCTACAGTTAGGATCGTCTCAAAAACTCCCACTTGGTCAAACCTTACTACAGTTAGGACCACAACCAAAATCTCCTTTCGATTCATTTTGCGAACGAAAGGTCCACTTTTGAATTGACTAATCAAACCTTATGACAGTTAGGATTATTCAAACCAATCCAGATTCTCTAAGTGGAGATCCCACTTTGAGTTTCCCTTTGCACCAAGAGATAAAATATAAAATTCTTCCTCTCCAATTCTGGGTTTATCTCTACCAACAAACAAGAGATCAGGAGATAGAATATAAAATTCTTCCTCTCCAATTTTGGGTTCATCTCTACCAACAAACAAGAGACCAGGAGATAGAATATAAAATTCTTCCTCTCCAATTCTGGGTTTATCTCTACCAACAAACAAGAGACCAGGAGATAGAATATAAAATTCTTCCTCTCCGATTTCGGGTTCGTTGTCCTATATAGGAAACGCAACCTACTCACACTTTAAAATCCATGTCGTTCACACATGGAGGATGTTATCTCTATCCCTTATCAGAGATAAGCCTACATCTGACACATGTAGCCTACATATTCAACATTGTAGTTCAAAGTCTAAAAGAGTTTAATTCTTTTAGCACAACGTTATATGTGAAACGGACCTAGATGATTCACATACTAGCCCGACTCAAACGGTAATCGGTAAAGACATATCAAATCCGTTGATGGCTGAGGATTTGCTAAAAATTCTATAAGTATTATGGTTATTTATTCTAAAACAAGAATGAGTAATCATAATAAAACCTCAATGAGCAAAAGGATTCAATATATTGACCAAAAGTGTTCAAACAAAACTACAAAAAAAATATATGTCCTCCAATTACAAGAGTTTATATTGACGAATCTGATCTTCAAGCTGTAAAAGCTCTGACGCACGAGCTTGTTCAAGCTCAGTTGCCAATTTAACTTTGAAGGCTTCTTCGTCAACATTCTGAAGTTCGGCGACCTCCCGCTCCTTTTCAGCAAGTATCTCATCCTGAGTATTCAGTTGCTGAAACAGGTCTTCTTCAGCTTGAGTTACTTTTGTCAACTCAGACTCCAGGATTTCACGAGCATCCTTGGCATTTACAAGTTGCTCTTCTAAGCGGGCTATCTCCGCTTGGTTCGACTCTAAGTCCTGGCGCAGATTAACCTTGGCATGTGTTTTTCTGCCAACACTCACCCTAAGTTGAGTACTGTGGGCTCTTAGCTTTTGGAGTTCGAGATTAGCTGATTTTTGAGAATCACGCCACGCTTGTAACTTGGAGTCCATACGAGAAGCAATATAGGAAGGTACGCTTTCGGTTTGAAGACCTTTCAGAAGTTCAACATGTTGCTTCAAGTCGACCATATAAGCGTTGATCGAATCGGCTAACTCGTTATATCCTTCCTCTCTGATCCCTGATATATAACGGTCAAGAGGTCTCTTAAAATTCTCAAAGTGCGATCCTTTGGAGAGAATACGATCGACCATAGAATTCAAAAAGGAGATGAAGTCGTGGAGATCAGAGCAAATGCCAGCCTTATCAGGATCCTCGTCTGTTAACAAAGCTTGAATGTGATTTGATAATGTTGAGGAAGGAGCTGATATGAAAACAAATATGTTAGTACAAAATATATGCGTGCATGCATAACGATGAGTGGAAGCATACCAAGTTGAACAGAAGAGCCTTCAGCACGATCTTGTTCACCCAATGGGGGTAGTTCGGCCTCCTGAGCAGCCAAAGTCGGTTCAGGAATGGTAGCTTTTGACGCACTAACTACGTCAAAGATTTTTTAATCTCAACCGCAGAGAACTTTGGGTCTAAGTTGAGAGGCTCCTTGGGAGAATATTCTGCAAGCAAAAGAACCACAATAAGTATGATGGAATGTTGATCGTAAATTCGAAACAAATTATGGGTGAAACTTACCAGCTCTAGGCACAACATCAGCCGACGTACCAACTTCTTCAGTTGGTCTCGCTTTTGTTGCGATCGGGCTAATTTGGGGAGTGACGGTGATTTCTATCATCATGGGGTCTATAGGAGTAGAAGGTTGAGGTTCAAGAACTGATGATTGCAAATAAACCTCAGTTCCTGCCCATGGCACGAGTTCACTACCCTCCGATCGATCAGACGTTCCAGTGATTATGGTAGTATCAGCTCCAGCAGCTGGTCCTATAATTCAAACACTTATATGATCAATCAAGTTAAAACACATATGTATGTATGTATGGAGTTCACAAAACCAAAGTCTTACTCTCAGAAGGACCTGCTTCTGTTGAACCGACTCCAACGTTGGATTCTGTGGCCGCACCAGGAGTTTTCCCCGATAATAAATCAGAGATATACTGATGGCTGCCTTCAGAGAGGTCAAAATCGAGGTGATGCTCATTGAATTCCTCGACCCCTGTTGCATGCGTGGCCTCTCCTCCAACAGATTCTTTCATTATGGTATCTACAGAACGTGTTGAATCGTAAATGACACGTAAATTTAAACGAATTTGCTCAAGACAAAGATTAATTTTACCTTCGTTGGTCGGGACGGATTCGAGAGCTCCACCACTTGTACCTGCTTCTTTTAGTTTAACTAAAAGGAGACCAAGCGCACAAGTCATTAAAGGAGGCACAAGGTCTGATTCATTCATTTCTCGGATTTCTCTTCCAAGAGGAGAAAGATCAGTACCTGTATCCGCAGCCGAGGGATCGATGTCAGAAATTGGTGGAACATCAGTTGATACTTCTTTCAGAGCATCCTGCATTTGCTGGACGAAGCTGGTCTCCTCAGTCTCCATACCTCCGGGAGAAATAGCATCAGCTGGCAATTCTCCTTCTTCTTGACTCCCTACAGAAATTGAAAATAGAATGAGTTCGAGCGTTAAGAAGCGTGAAAGCAATAAAAATGAATTGTTACCTTGTTCTTCTGAAGAAGCGCTACGTGCAGACGTTTCCTCTAAAGCGGGGAGATGAACACGTGGTTTAGAAACGGCTTTTTTCTGTCTCTTCAGTGGACGTACTTCAGAACCTTCATGACGACGTTTTGTACGTAATTCAGTTCCGGGAGGAATCTGAGTTTGAGCCTGAGTGGAAGATTGATATCTTTGCCTACGAGTAAGAGGCACTGTATCCTCTTCATCCTCTTCGTCTCCACTGAGAACGTCTACCGTCATCCGATTAGGATAGGTCATGACGACTCTCTCTCCCCATTTTTTCGGAGCAGCTTGTGGTTGGGCCGGAGCGACAGAAGGTCTTCAGAAGTCTCTGTTTCCTCACTATCAAATTCCTCTTCACTACCAGCTGGAAGAACCGGTTCCTTTCCTTTTCTCGAGGATTCAGCAGCCTCTTTTCCTCGAGTCGACACCATAGCCTCATGAGTCGCCTCTGTCGCTTGCTGCGGAGCTGCCTCTTCCTCTGAGTCCGATACTCTCCCACGTCGAGTGACGATATTAGCGGCAATCAACCACTTACAAAAGAGGAAGGTCATCCGTAGAGGCGGCGCCTCTAAAGGGAGATCGAATTCAACATTTGTGCAGCCCAAAACCAAGCTCTCGCCCCATCAATAAGTGCACCTCAAAAGCTAAGGTGACGATTCGGGTTGCCGATATAAATTTGGTCATAGCCGAATTGACGGGCAAATCGACATGGAAGATAGGGCTTAATGTGGCAAACGTCCCTTACCCTGAACAACAGATATCCAGGTCGGATATTCATCAGCCATCTGAAACATCCGACATCTAGAACAGTACGGTTCTGCCTCGGGTCTTCAGCATCCAATAAAGTTGTGTTGTAAGTGCCGGAGAACCGAGGGAAGCAAGGGAAGAATTCCCAACACTTATGAATTTTGAACTGCCTCGTTATGTCCGGCCATCGATGGTTGATCCATTTGCAACCCTCAAGGGTCTGTAAAAGAGGAAGACTAGGATCCACCGTCTCAGGAGCTTCCATTAAATCTGGCCGGTGCAGAACCAACCATGTCATCAAATAAGTGTAGGGTAATTCTAGTTTCGGAACAGATATACTGGCAGAGGGTTTCTTTTTCTCTTGCGTGAATGCGGAAACTAACTGCCGTAACCCACTGTGAATAGCCGCCACCATAGCAGGAAGCAAGGATAATCTGCGACCTGTGGCTAACTGGACGGCTGGATACAACACTTCCATTGGCATAGCGTCGGATGACTGGTGAGGAACTACACATCTCTTCAACCATATGGCCAGAAAGCCAGCCAGCAGAGTAGTGGGGCGAATCGGAACACCAGCTTGAAACAAATAAGAGCGGAATTTAGTTCCGTGCGAAAACCCATCTTCTGAATGAGAAGTGTAAGATTGTGCGTTTGTTTTCTCCAACAGCCGATTGATGTCACCCGGGCTCAAAGGAGCCAGAAAGCCAGCCAGCAGAGTAGTGGGGCGAATCGGAACACCAGCTTGAAACAAATAAGAGCGGAATTTAGTTCCGTGCGAAAACCCATCTTCTGAATGAGAAGTGTAAGATTGTGCGTTTGTTTTCTCCAACAGCCGATTGATGTCACCCGGGCTCAAAGGAGATAATCCACATACCTCTCCCGATCGATCCTCCAGGTTTTTGAACAGATAATCGGCGAATTGCTTTAAGCTGACCTGGGGAGATTTCTTCCTAGCTTTGGTTTCCATCTCAGCCATAGCTATATGATAATGACAAGTCAGCTCCCATAAAGTCTCGTGGGTCACAGATGACCGATCCTTCATCTTATTAAGCTGACTGGTGGTTGGGAAGAACTCTTGATATGGAACATCACCTATGGGCAAGCCAGACACCTTCATCATTTCGTACAATGCTAACCCGAGCTCCCCGTTCTTGGTGAAGAACGTATTAGTGTCAGGATTATAGATCTCGAACAGACGGAGGAAATGACCTACACTAATTTGCAGACCATGCATGCTGGCACGGATCGGGACTTCCAACCCTAGTTCTGCTAACTCTCGCCCCCAACGGTTCAACACATATCGAGTCATTCTGGTCCA